TAGAAAATTTTAATAGTTTAGATAATTATTACAAAGCCTAATAAAGTGAAGGCAAGACTGCCGAATTTTTTTTTTTTTAAAAAAAAAAAAAACTTTAGCATATGGAATAATAAATAAAAGGCTATAAAAATCTTAATTCTAATAATTATTTGTATTTTATATTCTTTTTAATAATGTCTATGATACAAAAATTAGTTTTGAAATTCAACTTTTCAGTATTTTTATATTTTGGAAGTGTTTAATTTGAACCAAGTGCTCTATGTCCAATGAAAAAATATTGACAATATGGATATAGTCCTTAAATGTTAATGTCTATATTTTGCAAATACTATCCAAAATATATTGAAATCAAAAGCTTATATATCTGAGATCAAAAGCTTATCGAATTCGGCTGAATTAATTTTGGCCAAGTTGTTCTGGAATTTATAATAACTTTATAATTTTAAAAATTTTATAATTTTTTAAATAAAAGTCTAACGGGCAGCTCATTTATTTGGTTTATGCTATGAGATCCAAAAAATTATACCTTATTGATTTTATTTTATTTTTTTATGTATCTTTTTGTTTATTTCTTTAAATTACCTTTTTTTTTAATTATCAGGATTTTTGGTTGTTTTTAAATTATAGTTTTTATTAAGAATATTTCTAACTATAACCGGTGGTGATAATCACCAATATTACGTGATATATGCATTAATTATTTTAATTTATTGTATAAAATATAATAATAACCAGTGATGATTACTGATTAAATAAATATTTGTAATGTATAAAATCTATCGTATAACAAATTTAATCAGCTACTCATTTTAGTTTATATCGTATATAAATAATTCTTTTGTATATATAAAGTTGAGCTGTCAGCGAAGAACTTCACTAAATCAAACTGAAATACAGTTATATGTGCGGGCATAACACTACAGACAAGTTAGGTTTTTTATGCTGAACATTCTAATTTATATGATCGTTTCAGTATTGCGAAGTGATATTTCTTGCTCACGTGATTGCATAATTATAATGACATTTATTGCAACGACTGAAACTCCATGCTTTGTTTACATTGTTATGATGCATATCCTTAATTTTTACTACATTTACCCATTTACTATCTCATTTTTCAGCATAGTACATCTGTATTCTTTTTCTTTAGAAATAGATTCTTTTTTTTTTCTTTTCTTAAGTAAACTCGGTGATAAAAAGTAAGCAGTATAATTGATTTTTTCACGGTCCATAATCGTTTGCTTATTGGTTCTAAATTTATTTAGGTTTTTCTTATAAAGAATTTCTTAATGACGTTAATAATGATGACCTTATGGAAACATTTCAAACACATTTACCTTTTTTTCTTAGTAATAATGATGACCTTATAGAAACTTTTCAAACACATTTACCTTTTCTTTTTAGTAATATCAATAATGATAACCTTGTAGAAACGTCTCAAACACACTTACAACTTTTTTCTAACAAAGCTAAAACAGTAGAATATGATGATACCTTTAAGGAACAAGTTTATAGTCAAAATTTAAACATAGAATCTCCTCAAGGAAGTATAGACATAGAATTCTCTCAAAGTATGAATATAGAGTCTCAAGAAATTATGGATAAAGGACCTCAGGAAAGTATGAATGTAGGACCTCAAGAAAATATGAACATAGGACTTCAAGAAAATACGAATGTAGGACCTCAAGAATGTATAGGCGTAGAATTACAAAGAACTATAGACATAGAATCTCTTCAAGAAAGTACAATATTAGAAGATACTACTCATCTTAAAGTTGGCGATACATTTACTTCATAGGAAATGGCTGAAACGAAACTTAACCAATATGCAAGATTAATTGGATTTTGCGTACGATGTAAACAAGTTGAAGTCGATAAAGATGGAATAGTTCGTCGACAAACATTTGAGTGCAGTTTTTCTGTGAGGGCCATTTCTAACCAAGTAATAGATCCAACCCAACAACGACAGCATCCATCCAGGAAGGTTGGGTGTTCATGGCATATAAATTTCACTAAGCCTAAAGAACTATCAAAAGTAGGCATTACAAGCATTGTTGGACAGCACAACCATTCTATGGTACCTGATGTAATGTTATATGCACCAAAATACCACAGGTTATTAGATAATATTATGGAGCAGATCAAGTTTTATGTAACAAAAGGAAACTTGGAATCAAAACAGATATATCCCTTAATAGTTGCAGGTTTCCCGAATCAGTTAATCTATAAGCGAGACCTTTATAATGCCATTTACAGTTTTAAAGCACCTTTTACCAAACATCAAGGAGATGCACAGAATATGATCAATAAAATCGCTTGAGTTACAAGATTGGGATACAGGTTGGATAATAAAAACAAGACTTGATCTCTTTAATAATCGACTTATGGGATTGTTTTGGATGTCTTCCAGTCAGCAACGATGCCTTTTACAATATAACGATGTTCTTCAAACAGATAATACAAGTCAAACAAACTAGTTTAACATATATTTGACTCTTTTTGTTGTTATTGATAATAACACTAAAAGTCAACTTGTTGTGCAATGTTTATCAGATGACGAAACAACCAAAAGTTATGAATGGTTCTTTGATTGTATTCTTCAAGTAACAAATAATATCCCACCTATCTGTATATTTTCTGATGCAGATCTGGCTTTAATGAATACAATATTACTAAAAATACCTATTGCTCATCATTTTCTTTGCATTTTCCATGTGCAAGAGAATTTACGCAAGAATTTACGAAGTAAATTGGGCCAACATTATGATAAATTTTATAAGGAATTTTTACATGCCCGAAATAGCTTATTCGAAAATGATTTTCATTGTCGGTGGGCACGTTTGTTAGAAAATTATTCTCAAGCTCGAGATTATCTCAATAATTCTTTGCAAAAATGTTATAAGGCATGGGCAAAATGCTATCAGGTTAAGGTTTTCATAGCTGGAGTTCAAAGTACACAAAGGGTGGAAGTAATAAATAGAATAATTAAAGAGAGTATAAGTAGCACGTCTTCATTGTGTAATCTGCATGAAATAATACAAAGATTGTTAGATAATGAAGCAAAATAGGCTCAGCATAATTCATATCTTCAAAGTCTTCTAGTCAACAAAGCACCTTTGATTATCGAGTCTATATTTCCTAAAGTACTTGAGTTATTTAAAGAGTACTTACTGCCCCATATTTTATCCATACAATATCAGCAAATAATTGGATCTTTACTATATCAAGCAAGATTGATACCTAAAGAGATGGTTAATATTACACAAAAGGTATATATAGGTGTATATATATATATAATAACCATAATAATGATAATAACATTCATTAATTTAAGTAATAAAACTGTTAATTTCTTAGGAACCTAATCAATTCGACTATGATAATGGGTTTCTTGAGGATAATCTTGATAGGCCGCAAACAACGTTTTATTCTCTTATACAGAAAATACAATTATCAGATATTTTAGAGATATGGGAGCTTATTGGTCTTACAGCGCCATATAAGCATTATATAATTTTATTAACTAACAGTGGATACTTATGTACTTGTTTATCTATTATTAATCGTGGACTTGTATGTGCTCACTTTTTTCATGTTATGATGAATTCGACAACTGCTAAGTTTAACATTGGGCTCATAGCCAAGCGATGGTATATGGAAAAGATTCATGATCTAGATATTCAACCAAATTTGTATAAGACTGTAGAAATAGTAACACAACTTAAACAAGTTGATAGTAATAACACGATAGTATCCAATTTGCATATATTCAATTAACTTAGAACACAATATACGCTTACAACTGAAACTAAACAATGGGTACAAAAGAAAGTTAGATATGTATATGGCTTTGGAAAGATGAAAGCAGCACTTAATTTAGCACTTAAGATAGGTTGTGAAGACGAGCTTCTTGATATGATAATTGGTTTTATTGATCGGAAGAAAAGTAATGCTAGTATTGTGAACGATGAGAATTATGAAGATTTGCATATTTCGGATCCTTTGGTTCTAAAACGACATGGACGTCAGCTGAGTAAATGTATCAAGTCATCAACGGAGAATAATAAATCACAGCATATTAGTACCAGAAATAGTGCAATTAATCCAGTTGATCCAAATTTACATATACATAAAGAAGTTGATAAAAGTACCACACTGAGAGCTCTATTTAATACTCTTAACAGCAATTATACTGAGATTGACAATAATATTTCTACTGGAGCATCTCAAAGCATGAAGGAAAATATTACTAAGCAAAAGTATGTATGTACTACGTGTGGGAAGCCAGATCATAATTCATGAAAGTGCAATAAGTAGTTCCAAAAAATAGACTTATACCGTAGTATGTATAGCAATGTATATATCATGAAAAGAAATTATTGGCTAGACTTTATATACAATGTTACTGTTTTGGGTATTTCAAATTACAATATGCGATCATATAGCTTAACAGTAATAAAGTGATACTTATTATATAAAGTTCAAGAAAATATATTGGATAACATCAATATAAATCATATACTAACTTACTCTTTAGATTTTGTATTCGATGCAAGTGAGTGCTGAGAAACTTCACATTGGCATGTTTAATCTGCTTGCTATGTTTAATATATTCACTATATATAGTCTATATTCGCTATGTTATGTGTTGGATGAATTCTTTAGTTGTATAGTACAATACGTTAAATTAAATTTTGCGTCAGATCAGAGTTTAAATAAGGTTAGTGCAAAAGGACGCAAGGACAATTTACTTATTTGTGCCGGTAATACAAACCAAAAAAGAAAAAAATAAACTAAGTGCATAAAAATAAAAGTTTAGGATTAGGACGTGAGCTTTAGCTATAAGTTGGAGCTTCTTATATGTAAAATTTTATCCTCGTTATTTTTTATTAGTTCAATAAGGCCGATTTAAACACTAGTTTTGAGTAGTTTCGCTTTCTTTTCTTTTTTTCTTTTACACGAGTTTGGATTCTATATCAGGCTGATAATGCCCGAAATTTGTGTTCTCTGATTGGCTATTCTCTTTTAGAGGTTTGTATTACCGGTGCAGATAAGTAGATGCAGACGCAAGATTAGTGTGAGAGCTACATTAGGCTATTTATGCACACAAAAATTTAATAGGAGATTAGTTATATGGATGGTTACAAATAATAGTTAAATATTAGTTAGTTACACAACTGTTAGATTAGATTATAGAATAGTTACACATAAATAGTTACAGTTACACAATAAATTAAAATAATTAATGCATATATCATGTTATACTGGTGATTATCACCACCAGTTATGGTTAGAAATATTCTTTTATTAATATCAATTTTTATTTTTAAATTATTGTTTTTTGGTAGTTTTTTTTAAATTATTATTTTTTTCTTTAAATTAATACCTTTTTTTAAATTTTTGAATTAATATATTTACTTAAATTAACTGTTAATATTTTTTAATTTTTTTTACATATCTTTTTTTTTATTTTTTTAAGTTATTAGTTTTTTTTTTATTTTTTATTTAAATCATTATATTTATTTATTTTTTTAAAATAACTTGCAATTTTTTTCTTTGTTGTATTAGATAGGTTATTTAACTTTTGCCACTAAGTAGAGTTTTAAACTCCATTTTGACAGAGTTTGAATTTTGCCAATTTCGCAGGAATGTGAAATAGTAAAAATTACATGATGCCACCACTAAGGCAGACCTTAAAATCTCTGATTAACAGAGTTACTTATAGTATGCTAGTCTCTGTTATATTTGAAAAAGGTAACACACCTTATGAAATACTTCTGCTAATATAGAGATATTTTATGAGGCATGTCACTTTTTTCAAATATAACAAAGATTAGTATATTATAAGCAGGAAGATTATGATTTGGTTTAAAAAAGCTTTCTGATAAAGTAAAATTTGGTTTTGTGTAACAATAAGAAAAAGTTAAGTTTAGATAGTACAAAGTTATGTATTATACAAGTTACATATCAGATCACATGTCAGGCCAGGTACTGTGTTGTATAAATTAGACAAGTTTTAGAACAGAGGTATTGTCGCTTGTATAAATTAAAAGAAATACAAAAAAGTAAATATTAGTTTTGTATAATTTAGATTAATAATTTGTATAAATTTGATTTGTAATTTGATTGTTTGAAGAGAACTACTAATTTTTAAGTATTTAAGAATGTGGTAACATAAATTTGGGCTGAGTAGGTTATATAAAAAACATCTATAGGGATTTTTGCAAAAGGAAAAAAAAAAGTAGAAGGAGTAATTTAGTTATATTTTTATCAGTTTTAATGCTACAGATGTAATCTATAGCTTGTTATGACAAGAAAAATGAGCTTTTAAGCTTTTTTATACTTGAAGAATAGGTTATAAAGGTAGTTTTAGCATATATTGCAATTTTGTAATTTGAAGGCCTGAAGGTCTTTATTTTAACAATTTTAAGTGCTAGCAATTTAGAACTTTAATATTATATGTATTTTTATAAGCAGAATTTATTTATTTAGGAACAAAAGTAGTTTACTTAATAAAAATAAAAGTTAATTAATAATTTTGCAATTTTTTGTTTGAGAAAATTTTGTATGAGTGATAGATGGAGAGAAAGGCATTATATATAAATTTACTATAAACTTTAAGCTAAAGATTCCTTTAAACTAAATTAGTTAATCTAAAATTAAAATTTATAATTATATATATCAAAAAAGAAAGAAAATTTTGAGCTTAAAAACCAAAATAAAATTTTGTCAATTTTGTACAAATTTAAAAAGTAACTTTATTAAAATATAATAAATTTAAATAATTGTCTATATTATAATCATTGAATATACAGAACTCACAAAAAAAATTATATATTGATTAAATCTTACTAAATTGAAAAAGGCACTAATACAGTACACAATAGCTGAAATTGAGTTTGTTTACATTGATATTACCAGAATTTCATAACAAAATAAATAATCTTTTGCTATTCTAGTGACTGCAATAATTAGTTAAAGTTGTATATATTATATTAGAATTTAATAATTTCTCTATAAGTTATATAAAAAAATTATGCAATATTTACTAGTTATTCTAGCAACTACAGGTTTAAGTTAGGTAATATTGGAATTACTGCTTAAATATTTTGTTTAGAGCTTGCTTGCTATTCTGGTAATAATAAAAAGGTATTGTAATTATCATAATTTATACTATAAAAAAATTTTGTTACAGAGGTGTAGCAACTTAGTGTAGTGGTCTAGTCATCACTCTCTTCAAGTGGCAGGTCTAGAGTTCAAATTCCACTGGTGACGATATTTGAAAAATAGGCCTGTGTTCAGTTGACGGCTATGCTTATTAGTTGGATCTAGAACTTAATCTATAACTTCAGTCACACTATTTAGAAATGGAAGCTTTGGCACAATAAATCTGAGGAACCAGCATAACCAAAAACCTATTTGGCAAGTCCAGAATTTGGAGGTAGCAATGATTTTTGACAGTACCACAGGAGGGCTGAATTCAAATTGGGGCCTGAGATCAGAGAACTGAGTGATCAGGTCTGCTGGCGGAGGACATACCAGCCAAACTGCTAGGTTGTCGCTCCGGAGAAAAAGGGCATATGCTCTGAAAGTATGAACAAATAGGAGGGCATCCTTCAGGCATTTAAAGCCTGAGCAGACCAACCCTTCCGGGTTGCTGGCTGGAAGTAAGGGATGGACTGGTAAAGAATCTGAATAAGAAGACAGTCCAAATGTAGGTATCAGGGTTGTTGTGAACTGAATAAGGGCAAGGAGTATGTAATGGGTGCCTAGTTAGGAAGGTTGGTACTTGAGAAATGTCTGTAGAATGGCAGCACCCCTAAAGGTGGCATGAGATACGTATACAGAACGGCAGGTCAATATGTACTAATTAGAAAGAAGTTATAGGAACATGCAGATGAATACATGTGTGGGACGTGTACCGCTCTGTTAGGTTTACCTCAAGGATAGACTAGCTTAAGTTAGTAAGTTCTAAGATAGAGTGCAAAATCCAAAGCAGGTAAATGCAAAATCCACATATGAATGATGAGTAATACTCACGGTTTAGAGGGCTGATGATAGTAGTTAGAACCAGATGGTTTAAATGGGTACCTCCATAGTTGGGATGCAGGTATGGCAAATAGTGTGGAACCCTTAGCATAGCACTAACGTTTCGGGCAGACCACTTAAATTAGGCACCAAAAGTATACATGTGGCTTGATATATCATCATTGTAATTACACTATAAAACATCGTCTATACTAAAATAAAAAGTTCTCAGGCCAAAGAGGTCACCTTAATACCAAAAAAAAAAAAAAAATTCTGTTACAAACCTATATTATAAATTACTGTAAAAAAAACTTTTGCTTGCAATTACAATATATGAAGTTAGTTTGCTTTAAAATTATTATAGTTTCTATTGTATATTATAAAAAAACTCTTATATAAAACTTTTTTGCTATTCTAATAATTACAATATGTAGTTATATTAGAATTATTATAGCTTCTATTTACTATTTTAACAATATACAGTATATGACTTACTAATGCATAGTACTAATATTATCTATCTATATCTTAGTTAATCTAATATGTAATAAATGAAAGTCAATTCTTGAAAATTATAACAACTGAGAATGTGAATAAGAATAGCTACTTATTTCTGTATCCACATTTCAATTTTTATGTATTGATTATTAGTTCACAAATTGATTATGAATAATAATGATCCTGTTACAGTTTAGCAATAATCATTATTCTTATAAAGTTGGCTAATTTAGCATAGCAATTAAATTTCATTGAGGGTACCCAGGCATTATTTTATAATATTAGGATAGAATAGTGTGCCAATTTTTCATTTTTTAATATTTTACTAAGTAAAAAATTAAGTTAAAGTTTTTGTAAAAAAAAATTTTTTTAAAAATATTTGATTCAATTTTTTATTTAGTAAAATGTTAAAGAAATGATACTAAACAACTTTACTTAAAAGATAAAAGAAGGTAAGTAAGAAAAAAAGTTGTATATAGAAAAATTTTTAACTTTAACATATAGCTATAGCTAACTTATTTTTGTATTAAAATAAGGGTGCTGCCATTAATTACGTAATTTCCATTTACTATGAGGGCTCCCCCTACATAAGCTTCAATATGATTGGCCAATTTAAAAAGAATTTGGTTCAACTAGTTTTCTTTATGTAATGTAAAATATTGATATAGTACATGCTCAACCCCACCCCCTAAATAATTACATAATTAATGTCAGTGCTCTAATCTATATTTGGATTCTAAGTAAACTTGTTTAGAATATAATTTTATATATAATTGCTAATTTAAAATTAGTAAATATTTATTTTTAATAAAGTATTTTTTGAAATTGTACAAAATTGACAAAATTTTATTTTGGTTTTTAAGCTCAAAATTTTCTTCCTTTTTTGTTATATATGATTATAAAATTAATTTTAGATTAATTAATTTAGTTTAAAAGGATCTTCAGCCTAAAGTTTATAGTAAATTCATATAGTTTTTTTTTTTTTCCTTCCTCCACCTTCTCTAAAGGTTCTTAGAAACCTTTAAAAATGTTACTTTTTCTTAAAAGCCAGTGTTATCATTGTTTTGTGAAAATCTATGGATGACAGTGTGGCTGCTAATTTATTATTGTACTTGTGAGCTATCACATGCTTTATTAGATACGTCACTTTGATGTTCCAGGTCTCTGGCTCGCAGTATAGGATTCTATTACTAATATCTGCAGTTCTCTAACTTTATATAACCTACAAGCCAAATCATCTTTCCTTTATTAAGCTGGGTATTTATCAATTTTAACATTATTTGTTGACAAATTACACCTTATCTAGCCATCCCGACCTTATTGCTATGCCATTGACTGCATTAGTGTAGATTCTGTTTCTTTCCAGACTTATTCAAATCCCCAAAGATCTTTTAATCATGGTCCTAGCTGAGTCTTGATTCCCAGTTGGATTCAAACCCATGGCCTTGTTATTGTGACCTGGAAGTGCTATGCACTATCAACCCACAGATTATTCATATTTTTTTTTTATATTTTTTATTATAGACAACATTTTAACTTTTTTTAAGAGAACATGTTCTGTGTATGTTATGCTTCTAAGGGGGCTAACAAATATTAGCTCATTATACCCCCTGGGATTTTTACTTAATCCCACCCAGAATCAATCATTTGACATAGTAAAACTTACAAAAAATGTATAATTAAATTTTTGACAGTTTATGTTGTCAACTGTCAAAAACTAATTATGCATTTTTTGTAAGTTTTACTGTGTCAAATGACTAACTCTAGGTGAGATTAAGTAAAAATCCCAGGGGGTATAATGAGCTAATATTTGTCAGCCCCCTAATGCATTTTTCTTCATTAAAATCTAACCTTAAAGAGCTGTTAGAATAATTATTTAATGCAAACCATAAATAACTGTTAGAATAATTATTTATCCATAATCTCTACCATTTAATTCTGGGTTTGTATGCTTTAACAAGTTTACTAATTTCTCACCACTTCTTAATTATTAAAATATCGAAGTATATTAGAAATTATGATAGTTTATTGTTATAGCAAGAGATAGATACAATACTGTATTTATTATATGAGTGCTGTTAAAAGAAAACCTGTCATCAGGCTTTTAATAATATTTTGTGTGCAGTTAGTTGTCTATAGAAAGTCTATTATAGTGATAGATTTTCTGTATACAAAATATAATTGAAAGCCCAATGACAGGTTTCTTTTGACAGCACTCATATAAGAAATCAGATTTTATTTACTATATTAGCATAATTGAAAATATCATAATTTTTGAGATTCTATTCTGGGTTTAAAATGAGTTAGAGAATGTCATAATGAAATATCCAAATTCTAAAATTGGAATAATCATATGAATCAAAAAGTTATATAAACAGTTTGACTTGCATTGTTCACATGATTAATTCCAATACAAATTAGCTTTAACTACAAATTATTATAAGTAAATTTTATATTAGCTCATGATAAAAGTCATGATAATTCTGGTTCAAACTAACTCAAATTTAACTACATACCATATCCAACCAGAATAGTGATTCCTGTAACAGAAGAATATTTTATAGCAACTCTTTGACAGAAATACAATTAACTCACTATATTTTTCATTACATAAAAATAATAAATTATTATTTGCTTTAAATTCAATATGTAATTTTGTTTATCTTACAAAATAATATAAATCTAATATAAGTAATAAAAAAACTGTAGTATAAAAACCAAGTTTTGAACTACATATATATGTTGTAAGTAGAAATGGAGGTTATATAAAAAAACTCCTATTTTGGGTTGATTTTATTATATTTATACCTAGTGTTGGCAGTAGAATTACTGAATACAGAATTACGGCATTCTACCATATAGTAGAATTAATTATGGTACTAAGCCCAATTGCTATAAATATTATGTTTCATAGTGCTGTAATGCTGCAATGCCGTAATGCCGCAATGCCGTAATGCTGTAATGCCATAATAACGCAATGCCATAATGCCATAATGTTATACCATAACTGATAATACTATAGACCTTTGCATTGTAATAATGTGATACCATAATACTATAGCATATAATAATTATAATAACATAGCTATGTAATGCAATCATGCCAGACCAGGAATAGATGAATACGTATTAGGCAGGAACTTAATCAGTAATCTTTATATACATCATTATAATTATTATAACTTTAGGCACTGGACTTGAGTTTTAAAAAGTTACTAAAATTACTAACTATTAATAATTTATAATTACTATGTGATTACATTAAATTATTATTATTATTAATTCAAGAGGTCCTATCACTAGGTGAGGGTACAAATATTTATAATAATAAGTAGTTATATTTTAATTTACTATATTCTACTACTATTCTACTACTAAAATTTCTTAAAATTCCTATTACTTATTTTAATGACATTTTTGCCAAGATAATTCTGTGAATAATCTGAGTATTTACTATAGTGAGTATAATTATATAACCAATATATATATTTTAAACATGATATTTAAAATGTGAGCATAATTATATAATCAATATATATATTTTAAACATGATATTTAAATTTTAGGTATTAATTATATTTACATTATACCTTAATTTCGCATTAATCTAGTCCAAGTAGGTATATTAAAAATTATTTTAAGTAACTTCAAGAGAAAATGAAACTTCAATCATATAAATTCTGAATGATTGAAGTCACATTTCTCTTGGCGTCACCATTTATGACTGTATTAATTAGTATACTAGGTGTTTGCGAATCTTTGTTAGGGACTTTCAAAATTAATATATTTTAAGGGGGTTTACCACAAAATCTTGATAGACAGACTCCCAAAAGTACCTAATACTGATAAAGTTAGCCGGTATTAGTTATAATTCTGGCCAATTTAGTCGGTATTATGTTCTTTCGGGAAAATGGTTTTCGGGATTTTGTGGTAAACCCATTTTAAGGAGATAAAAATCAAATTTAGAATTATGAATGTCAAATTAAACAGTACATTTGGTGATTCATGTTTATATAGTCTAAAATGTAATTAACAATAAATATGATTATCATATATATTATACTGCAACTTAATTTCGCATTATTTAATCAAGTGAACCTGATATTATTTGCTAAACCTATTCCGCTCACTTCATCGATGCTTCTTTTGTAGACATAAAACTTCACCCATGACTGAAATATAGCATAACTTTCTTTACTGTTACCAATTTAATCATAAATATAATAACTACAGTGTAGATCTGCAGCTTGGGCATTTACGTCAATCATTGCTTTCGCAATAATAAAAATATAAAGCAAATCAGGATAATTTGGGATCCAAAACAAATCTTTTTATTTAGGATAGTCCGAAAACACACTTTATTCCCAACTATAAGAAATAACCTTGACTGAGTGAAAAAAAAAAATTAAGATCTTTCACTATGAACTTTGATGATCAATTCACAAAACCAGTAAATTTACTGTGCATTATTTTAAATCTAAAGAATATTTTAAACAGTAAACACTAGAGGAATGTTTATCCTATGTTGTTTATGTTATTGCAGCATTACAGTTTTTAACATATTACTGCAATAGCATTATAATATTTAAATACAACAGCACTATGGAATTTCAATATAACGGCATTGCGGCATTACGGCACTAGTAATTACGGCAAATAATATGGCACATGCCGTAACCGTATTAATTTGCCAAATTAATTCTACCGACAACACTATTTATACCCATACCTTAACCCTAATTTAACTAGGAAATTCTGAAACCACTTAAATTCCATTTCCACTTACAACATATACAAATATACAAACTTTTATGCTTCTCAAGCATGCTTGAATATTATTTAGTAGAATACATACTGTAAAAATCACATTCTTATGCATTTTGAGACGCATTTTCTTCATTGAAATCTAACCTTAAAGAGCTATTAGAATGATTATTTGATATTTGATGTTCATGCTACATCAGATGATTAGTTGAATTCACATTGATGTCCTTATTCGCGCGCTCTGGCCTACTTTTTAATCTTGTGTATTATGCAAAGGAAACTTGAAGAAGACGTAGGTTGTTCATTTCTATCCCATGGAATATTAGATAAATCTGTAAATTGTCCATTAAATTTGATCATATATTAAAAAAAAAAAGGTTAAATTTAATCTGCCATTTAATAATGGATCTAACATCTAGTAATGGATAAAAAAAAAAAGCTGATTAAAATATAATAGTAAAATAAAAGATCGATTTAAAAAAAATGAAACTAAAAGAACTAGTTAAATTTTTATTTTATTAATGTTATTAATAAAAATGAATTACATTTTATTATCAATGGTATATTACATTTAGTCTCATTGTCTGCATTAAGAATCGCCCCAGTCGAGGTGAAAAATTTGAGAATGGCATATTATAAAGCTCTGGCTATGATTTGTACCCAGCGGCAATTCATATTACATCTCAAAGAAAATACACTCTATCCTCGTTATAACGTAGTGATCGGGCTGGGAAATTCCATCTGTAATAATAAATATCCGTTATTGCGTTATATAGTATAATAGTAATTCATGATATTTAAAACGAGCTTTGATATTAACGAAGTGCTTATATCGATGATTAATATAATATAGTTAAGTAGAAATAGATAAACACGAATGACAATGCTTAATTAATAATATCAGGCATAGGCAATAAGTCCCTAGAAAAGATACATAAGAATATTTAAACAGGTGTCTCACTAGATTCTGGAAATGACAAACACTGAAAATTGTGCCTCTTTTAAAATTAAAACTTACCAAAATCTACATAACGAGTTATTAACCCATGTATTTAAGTCAGTATATGTGGCGTGATTGGAATATTGCATGATTGCATGAAATTAATTACAGCAATTTTCATTAATTTTGGGACACCTGGTAAAAAATTGACCAAATGGTTATTTGGCCGATTCGATAGGCTTTTTTTTCAGCAATGATACGTAAACTTTTGATTTGGGTGTTGGTTAGTAGTATAACGATAATGATATATATTTTTTGCGATTGTATTCTGAACAACAATACAATGTCAACACATCCAAAATTAAGATGTTTAATCTGCATGAAAATTTATGACGAAGATTGTTTTTGTCAACCAACATGCCTTAACAAAAACATAAAAAAGTTTCTGAGCTTTCATAATAAACGTGGTGATTATGTTGAAATTGGATCATGCTGAAATGCTGGCCCGAATTATAAAAACTTTTTGGGCCAGTAGACCCGAATTATGATTTAATTTTATATTAGTATATATAAAGTTTTTTAAAATTAGCCCACTTCTGTAAAATAGATAGTACAACTTTTTTTAGAGTTAGTGTTAGGACTCTGTTAGGGTTCAGGGGTTTTATTTTTAATTAAATATTTTTCATAAAGCTTATACAACATTTCAGCATGATCCAAATTTTAGCATAATTTCCCACAATAAATATTTTACACGAGGAGGCATTAATAAAAAAAAAAGATCGATATGGATAAGATTTATTGACTGGACTAAACTCGATTTATAATTATAAACAACCAAGTTTTATTAAAGTTATAATCAACAAAATCATAGTGAAAATCTAAAAAAGAATTTATTTATTTATGTAACATAAATTATAAAGAATTTTTAAAAAGCAGACCAAAAAGCAAATCAGTATGAATTAGATGAAAATTTTTGAAACGGTTGATCTAACAACTAAGGAACCTTTCTTTAGCTTGTTCAGCTACAGTATAGTAAACTTTTTAAAAATGCCTAGCTTGTCTGAAGCAACTACTGTTGAATCTGAAATATCCAACTTGTCTAAAGTAATAGTAACCGAAACTAATAATATCCAACTTGCCTGAAGCGTAAAGATAAAATAGTATTATCTCTGTCATACTTAGAGACGGGCCTTTCGAGTTTTAGTTAATAATAATATAAAAACAATCATTAGTTATTAATATTATTAGTCATTAAGAATTTCATCACTGTTAAAAATTTCTCTGTCATCACAAAAAATCATAATGAAATCAAACTTTGAAAGTTCGCATCTTTGGAAAATTAAATAAAGGGCAAATATTTTATTAAATAACGAAGAATTATTCCAAAATGTAATTTAATTCTAACGAAGAAACAATCCAACACGTAGATAACTATTTTTGAATATATTTTTGTATTCATCAATGTATAAATTAAATAACACTTTTTATATAAGTAGTTTTTAGTTAATAACCCGACAAATAGTTAATAAATTAAAAATTATGAACTTGAAATTATAGTAGTTTTTTTTTATATCTAGAAGTAATAAAAAGAAAAGGTTTGATAATAACTTAAGGCAATTTTATATAAAATTAGATTATAATAGATAATTTATAAGCGACAGAAAACATATAAAAATATTTTGAAATAAACTTTATAACAGTTTTGCTAAACATTCATTATATAAAATTTATATAAAATATGGATTTTAATCCAGTTAGTCGGAATAACTTAATATATAAGGAAAAGAAAAGGATATATGTTAGGTACAGGTTTTATGACTGAAATGATTAAGCATAATCATTTTATTAACTATAAAGAGAGGCGCTAGAGAACAAGAATAATATTATATTAAACAAAATGTTTGAATTACTCATTTTATTGCAGCCTTTCTCTTTAAAGCTTCGGCAAAATCTTCACGTGCTCTTACGACTCTAACTTTCATCACTTTCTATAATTCAAGGAACAATTATCAAAAAATTTCCAATAATTCCACGTTAAGTATATGTAATATTGTACGAACAAAATTTTTTCCATTTGGTGTTGTTTCTTCAAGTTGCCCAATGACTTTATTACAAACTTCTTGGATCATATGTTGCTATTACGCATTTCGTAAAATCAAAATCTAACTTTGTGGTTCCATGATCGTATAAGTAGGTAACTGAACTTCAGCAGCATCGTGGGGTGCTTTCTCTTTGTTAATACGGGCATGTTCCTCTGGAAAAAATCCTGAGAGATATTGCATTACTGTATAATAAGAATTTACACTAATACAATTCTTCGGAAATTTGGATCAGATATCTATTAAAAGTAAAGATATTCGACAAAATATATTAATATTCTTCTACGGAATACATCGTTCGGAAGTCTTAATAGAATCAGACCCATTCCTTGTGTTGGTATCGAATTCTTGTATAATTGAATAGTCAATACATCCAATTGTTGATGTAATTAATTCAAATTCATACCACAAGTAGCCTTTTCTTGTTCGTTTCCAGGAAGCTATATAGTTTTTCGCTGACTTCAAGAGGTTGTGTTTCCATCAATTCTTTCAAGATTGATAAGTTTGAGTTCACTTACAATTAGTTTCACGACACCATAGTACGAGCTTCAGTAGTCTAAATCAGTTGGTATAAGACGATCAGGTGGATGCGTCTAAGATGAAAAAAAATTTAGAAAAGACTTTATTGAAAATTATTGCTAACATTATTAACTCTCGCAGGCAACCTGTTTTTCAAGGGACTCTTGGGAATCGAGACAGCGTGTTGTAATCATAATTTTTTAAAAAACCCAAAGAATTAGTTTATGCCTTGCCCCCAGAATGAATTCGTTCCAGCTTTGAGAACTAATGTTTTGATATCTTGTAAGTTCCAGATTATTTCGTTTTGAGTTTTGTAACTTTATCGATCGCGGATCACTATAAAATAAAATAAAAAATTGGTTAATAGAGCAGTAATATTTTATTAGTAATATAAAGAAACTTGATAAGGAAGGCACGTAACAATCCTTTTCCAGAATCGTAGACCTTATCAACAAGAAACCCTTTAGATTGCATAATTTTTTTGTGATTTTTCTCAACATTTTTTTTTTTATTAAAAGGTGGGATTGAGCCACCAACATTTTTTTCGCTAAAAGGTGAGATTGAGCCACCAACATTTTTTCTTCACTAAAAGGTGGGATTGAGCCACCAATATTTTTATTTCACTAATCCGAAGTTGAGCAACCTCACAAAAGGCAACCTAAAAGGTCTAAATACTACTAAGAAAAATAATTACCTGTTCATTTTCATTATTTCAATATTTTCTACTTGACGCGTATTGTTTTGACATTATACAAGTTGAAAAAATAAGCGAATTAAACAAATAGAATACGTACGTATTTGTATTTTTTTGCATGCATAAGTTACGTCTATGGTTACACATTGTTTATTACCATGCATAAATAAATTGTCTACGTACACGCGTGTTCAAATTTGTCAATTTAGTGTAACAAAACATGCATATTCACGCATTTGTAGTTATTAAGAATACGTATATCAATATAAATATTACTGTATTCGATTATGCCGAAATCAATAATTTACCGGCAAATTTTTTATCAGGTGTTTCAGAAGTTATGATAATACGTACGTAGCTGTAAAACTTTTGTGATTTTTTGTAACAGCCGGCTACAAATAAATTCAAATAATTTATAGACAATTATGATCGTTACACAAAAATTTATATTTACACAATTTATTTATGCATAGTAATAAACAACGTGTAACCATAGACGTAACTTATGCATGCAAAAAATTACAAATAAAAAATATAAATATAAAGTAGAAAATATGAAAATGAACAGGTAGTTATTTTTTTTAGTAGTATTTAGACCTTTTAGGTTGCCTTTTGTGAGGTTGCTCTACTTTGGATCAGCTCAAATTCATTTGGTAAAGGTGTACAAAAAGCAGTACCGTACGGATTTTACTTACACAAAATCATTTTACTTATTCTTAATTATGCACAAATACTGGAATACTGAGACCTAACTTTAACTAAGGTTTTATTGGTGGTTCTATCCCACCTTTTATTGAAAAAAAAAATGCTGAGAAATGTTATTCGTGAAAATTTATTTAAAGTTTATTTATTAAAATTCAGCTCGTGGAATTTATATTTATTAAAATTTATTTATTAAAATTCAGCTCGTGGAATTTATATTTATTAAAATTCATTTATTAAAATTCTGCTTGTGGAATTTATATTTATTAAAATTCATTTATTAAATTCAGCTCGTGGAATTTATATTTATTAAAATTTATTTATTAAAATTCAGCTCGTGAAATTTATATTTATTAAAATTTATTTATTAAAATTTAGCTTGTGGAATTAATATTTATTAAAATTCATTTATTAAATTCAGCTCGTGGAATTTATCAAATCTGATCAATGTAGTTCTTAGACCTCAAAATAAGATATGCAATCTAAAGGGTTTCTTGTTAATAAGGTCTACAACTCCAAAAAAGGATTGTTACGTGCCTATCAAATTTCTTTATATTACTAATAAAAATATTTTATTTTATACTATAGTGATCCGCTATCGATAAAGTTACAAACCTCAAAACGATACCAACACAAGGAAAGGGTCTGATTCTATTAAGACTTCCGAACGATGTATTTCGTTGAAGAATATTAATATTTTTTGTTGAATATCCATGCGCTCAGTAAAGTTTCAGGCATGTACAAAGTGTTCCCTCAAATATCTTGAATATAATTATTTCAATGGTTAACATTTCGTATTTGATAGGTATCATTAAAGGTAGGGATGTTATCCTGCTTAAACCTGCTAGTTTGTGCTTTGAAACCCGTTCGAACACTGTTTCGAACTTTGTACATAAACTGGGTTTCAAACTCTGCTTCAAACTATTTATATACATGTACTATTAATTACGTGCTCCTGAGCATGTTAGCTTAAAACCCGCTATATATTTATTTATTTTTTATTTATTTTTATTTTTTATATTAATATATTTATTTATTCATTAAAGCATATAAATATATATAGTATACATATTACTGTTTTACTTAACGCTAATTTAACTATATATTTGTATATTATAGCATTGCATTTATTTATTTACCGTTACTGACCCTCCATAAAATCAATCATGCCCGAATCATTCCAGGTTTTCAAACATAGGCTTGCGCAAATGTTTTCTTCGGACAAACGATTACGTACCGGATTGATTGTATTTTTCGCTTGTGAGAACATTTGCTCACTAGGCACGCTTGTAGCCTGTGTGACCAAATAGTCACGTGCCATCTGAACGAGCCCAGCATAACGTACATCAGCTGATCTTGTCTTCCAGAAATCAAGAGGATTACAGTATTCTTCCGCAGCAGCAAGATATTCGTCAAGTACATTATTTGACTTCTCATAACGATGCTTCCTGAAATAGATCCTTGGAGAATCATCGACAATAAGTGAGGAACCAATTTCTTTGCTTGCATAATTTGTATAAATGCTGTGCAGCATTTCACGTACAATTGTTGCTGTTTCAATATCAAATGATGTTAATTTCATGCTTGGATCTAATGCGACAGACAGATATAACACAACAACTTTGAAGAACAGTCCAATAGCTATTAAGTTTTTTGTGCATTTGTTGTGCAATTTGTTTTTTTACTTGAATTTTGCTATTTAGTATATCATGTAAAAGATTTAAAATGGTCAGAAATATAATATATAAGTCTCCCATTGTTGGGCATGTTGACGAAGATAAGATTGGTGTTGCTTTAGCCATGGGCTCAAGTAATTTGACAATTATCTAAGATAAGCAAAAATTTATGTTATTATATTGTTTTTTTTTTTATTTAATTTCAAATACATGAAACTAAGTACTAACTTTAACTTCATTCCATTCTTCTTCATCTAGATACCGCTCTTTTAGTGCAGGATTATCATCTACAAGAACATCAGTCATTTCATGGATTCGGAGCATCTTTTCAATCATAGTATATGTGCTATTCCATCATGTAGATATGTCCAAATCAGGCACAAGAAAAGGTTTTTCATTTATTTGAAAATTTTTTTTGAGATCTTCAAATAATGGTTGTGACTTGCGTATATAGCTAGCAAAGTTTCGTAACTTTGAAATAGAATTAATGACAATCTTCATGCCTTCTGAAACTGCAAGATTTAACACATGTGCTGCACAGTGCACATGTTCAAAATCTTGATTACCATATTTATATCTAAGCTTTTCACGAAGCATCTGTCCAAATACATCCATATTGGGTGCATTATCAGTGGTCACAGAGATAATACGAGAGCCTATACCATAAAATGAAATTGTTTCTAAACCTTTTTCACTAATATAACTGCCAGTGTGCCGCTCATGAAGTGGAATCATGTCCAATAGAATATGTTTCATAGCCCAATGTTCATCAATCCAATAAAGTGTTATAGCAAGAAATCTGAAGTTAGTGCATGAAGTCCATGCATCTGTTGTAATTGCAAATTTGTTTTTGCTTCCATTAAAAAAGCTTTGTAGCTCATGTTGCTTGTTGTAATACAATTTTAAAATGCTTTGTGCAACATATTGACTTGAAGGAAGATAATATTGTTGAGTTAATTGATTAATAAATTGTTGAAAGGATTTATTTTCAACAAGAGAAAAGACTTGTTGATCTGTAATAATCCATTTTAAAAAATATTGGTTTATTTGAAGCATTTTATCAGCACTATATGGTTCAATATTTACATTGCTTATAATTCTCATCAATTCATTCCACTTATTCGGATGATTATGTTTAAAATGTAGCTTTATTGTAGAAAGACCTGTATCCATTGAATAGTTTTGGGCACAGTATTTGCAATGTCG